GCTGTATCCCCAGTGCCTAAAACAATGTCTGGCACAGAATAAACACTGAATTAAAAAATAAATATAAATCACATGAAGGGAGGCAGAAGCATTCCACTGACTAGATCTATTACAGCTATTATACGTACTACGTAGGTCAGTCTCCATTTTTAGTCAAGTTTCTGGTGGCTCCACTGAGACCTTGCAGAGGGGTCCCAAGTCATGTGCAGTTCATGAAACATTAGCTCCTCTAGGCCCTCTAGAGACCCCGTCAGATGAAAAGCAGGGTCTAGTCTTAATTTATTTTCCTCATCAATAGGTAATAGTCAGAGTTTATGGCTAAGAAAGTAAAAAAGAACATGCTTCAGATTTCTCTCCTTAAGAGTCATCTTGGCCTCTAATTCTCTCAATTATCCACAGGACCTTTCAACCCCTCCCCCTCCCCGCCCCGGCTCACACACTCACACCTTTCTAAGTGCTGAGAGCCCAGGAGAGACGTGGTTTCAAGGGTCTGTATTTAAGACATTGGGAGTCCACAAGACCTACTGAGAGTTTGAATTATCTGCGTACAGAATGAAGCTGCTGTCATTCCACAGTCCTGGCACCCCTCAGCTGCTTGGTTAAAGCATGTGGAGATGTATTGGTGTTGTATTTTCTTTTCGGAGTGGGGAGGGGCATTGTTTTCTGAAAATGCATAGTGACAGTAACATTGTCATTAGAGGTGATTGATGGTAATAATGGCTGTCATTCAAGGATACATTTATGACTCAGGCCACAGGCCAAACCTAGCATCCTCTTTCATCCTCACAAGTCCATGAGATGAGATCAATTTGCAAGTCCATTTTACAGATGAGGATATGGAGATTTGACACAAGTCACATGGTATGTAAGGGAGAGAGCCAGAATTTAAACTAAAGACCCCAAAGGGGGCTGTTCACTGCCCCCCAACCCCTGACTCCTTTCTGTCTCTGGGTGATAAGGAAAGCAAGGAAATCCACATGAAATGTGACTTGGGAGAGGAGGCATTTAGCCACTACCTTAGGAGCAAAGCTACAAAGTCGGTAGCATAGTAAAGCACAGTGAGTCTAACCCTTCCTGCCAAGTATAAAGCCTACTGGACCTTCTTCTGGATGTGAGACTGAAGGCAAGTTACTTAACCTCTTCACACCTCAGTTTCCCCTTCTATAAAAGGGAGCCATCTCCTTTAGTTGGGAGGACTAAATGAGTTAATATATAAATAAATTATTGTTCTCTCAGTCTACTGCAGAGTAGTATTTATACCACCCCTTGCCAACTGTGGCTGCCTTAAATGTCCTCATTTTACCCATCCAAGTTAGGGAACCTACAGGAGAAAAATAGTGGTTTGTCCGAGAGCTCAGGCCGGAACTGCCCATGAGGAAGAGGAAGAGTCTAGAGCAGCCTTTACAGATGGTTTTACAGATGGTTTTGCAGAAAAACGTTCCGTTTTCCCTTTTTAAAAAAGATGTAAACATCTTCCCAGGCTCCTCTGACATCAGTGTGTCAGTGATGAATCATCGGGAATCTAAACGCACACACTAGGTAGGTCAGTCTCCATTTTTAGTCAAGTTTCTGGTGGTTCCACTGAGACCTTGCAGAAGGGTCCCAAGTCGTGTGCAGTTCATGAAACGTTAGCTCCTCTAGGCCCTCTGGGGACCCCCATCAGATGAAGAGCAGAGCTGCACAGAGGCTGAGGGGATCCCTTCTGGCATTTCTTCTTCTTTTTTAAATTTTAAAGCAATTTGCATAGAATTTTTCTCCTTTCTTTTTTTAACAGAGCACACAGAACCAGCATTTTCAGGCTGGTTCTTGCTTGCAAGTGAGAGACTTCACATGTGATGGAACAGAGGAGAGGAGCCCCTGGGAGCTGTTATATTTGAATCAATATTAAAAACAAAAATTTGACCATCTCAATGCTTGTTAGATTTATGTGTATGTATGTTTTTTTATTCATTCATCCAGAAATGACTTCATTTATTGAGTATTTACTAAATACTCAGATGTGCAGCTGACCCTCTGCTGAAGGTGTCAAGAGAGGGAGAGATGTGGAGAAAATCTGGGTAGGCCTCCTGGAGGAGGAGGCACCCGACAAAATTTGGCCAATTGGAGTTGGGAAGAAATGTACTCGGGTAGGCTGGCGCTTCAGCATGAGTCAAATCCCAGAAGTGAGAAATCCCAGGACTACATAGAGAAGAGGGGAAGGAACACACAAGGACAGCAGTATAGCTGCAGGGAAAAGACTTTCTTCTCCTTTCTAATTTGTTACTTCTAACTTGCTGTGAATTTAGAAGCCAAATATTGTGGATGTTAGAACTGTATGTAAAGCATGGATACATAAATGACCTCAAAGCAAGCACCTGAGAGTGAAAGGCAGGTATAGGGGACAAGATTTGGGCCACTCAGAAGAAGCCCCCTGTGCCCTTTCAGCTTGGGAGTGCACTGGGGCAGCGGGATGAGGTATAAGCTAGGTACAAGCTAACACCTGTCACCGCACGGAATCCAGGAACGAGGCATGCAGGGACAGCAAGAGGTCCCCCCTCACACACAAAAGAACGCATATGGTCCTTGCACTGCCACTAAGTCACTGCCCAGCCTAGCCCACTCCACCCCAGCAACCACCATTTGGCCCAGGACTTTATTTTAGGCTCTGGGAATGGGATGGGGGAGTGAGTGGGCACAGTTGATTCCCCTAACAGCTGAGCCACACACACATGTCCGGCTCTTTAGGAGGGGCCTCAGGACCTGGGGAGCTACATTCTAACTAGGATCCCCTCCAGCCCAAATTTGAGAGGAGCCAAGGAAGCGCCAGAGTCAGAAACACAGAAGGGGAGACCAAGAAGCTAACCGGGAGATGGGTGAGCCAAACGACTTTGGAAAAGGCCAGCGATCTTACTGGGCCTCGGCTGGGCGCACTTGCCCTCCATACCCACTGCCCAGGCCTGGTACTCCCCAGAGCCCTGGAGCGACAGTGCACTCCCCACCCCACCGGAGGCCCAGCGGGGCTGCCCAGCAGGTTTTCAGCACACCATCCTCCGCCCCGCTCCTTGGGGCCCGCATAGTCCCTGGCGGGGGCGGGGCACAGGGATACCGGCGAACCCCGCAAAGGGCTCTTACCTCCGCGCGGGCATCCGTCCGACCAAGCACAGTTTGCCGCTGGGACTGCGGGGTTGGGGAGGCTCCCACGGGCTCGTATCGCGCCTCCACTCCCCTCCGCACCCCCCCTCCCTCCACGCCGGCCCGAGCCCCTAGATCCTTCGGTGGTACCGAGCAGCGACGCCGGGACCAGGGGACAGGCGCCGCGCCGGCGGGAGGAGGAGGCTCCTGCGGGGCGCGGCGGGGCGGGGCGGGGGTCTTTTCTGGGCCCCGCCCGGGAGGGGACGTGGGAGCGATTATCCCAGAGAACAAAGGCGGCCGGGTAAGGCTCAGCGCCCCTCGGGCCTGGCCCTGAACTTGAACTTGTATTTGACACTTTGTCCGGAAGGTGGCGGGGAAGCCCATCTGTGCTGGGACGGGGCTCGTCCGGCCACCTTCAGTCCTGGGTAGGGGGCAAGCCCGCCCCTTTCTACTCCCAGAGGGAGCGGGGCATCCTAAGGGTCCCGGCGCGCCCCAAGCAATCTTGGGCTCGAGGGTCCTGAGATCCCCGCGTTCCCTCGGAGAGTTGGAGTGAGGACGAGGTCCTGGGTCTCCGGGCCAGAGGAGTAGGCCGGGGCCCTACGCCGCGTCCCCCTCCCTCGGTCCCACCCTCTTGGGCCAGGCCCGCCGCCCTCGCTGCCCGGGGCAGGCCGGATTCTTTGCACGTCGTGTCGGCGGCCGCTATTCAGCCGCTAATTGAACGTTAATGGCAGGTGCGGATGAGGTCACCGGAGCTGGCTTTTCTCACACATTTTTCATGCAAATTCGCGAAACTCTAAACAAATTTGAATAAAAAGCTCTTTGTGCCGCGCGCCCCCCAGTCGTCTTTCTCCCGCTCGGGGTCCTGGCTCCTCCCGGTGCCCTGGGGCTCCAGCCGGGAGCTCCGGGGAGCGCCGCCTGCCGGTCAGTGGTTCCGCCCTACCAGTGGTTTAAACGCGGCCCGGGCTACTGGGGGGCGGGTGAAAGATGTTTCATTTGGGGTCGTGGGCCCGGGTTAGGTTGATGGGGCTTTTAGGGAGGCAGTGTGTGCAGTTAAGTGCCTGGCATCTGGACAGACAAACGTGAGTGTGCTGGCATCCTGGCTGCAATCCCCCCTCCTCCACCACACACGGAGCTACACGGGCCACTTTGGATGCCCAACTTGGCCTCATTCTCGTTCTTGGTTAAATAGGAATAAGGATAGTGCCCAGCTATGCACACAGATGTGAGGATTAAGCCACGATTTAAGACACAAACTAGCACTTAGAATAGTGCCTGGCACAGTAAGTCTTGATTATTCTCTGCAGTCCAAAGGCCTTGTGAGAATGAATGCTGTGATGAAAGCAGGGTTGTGAATTAGCTCACACACGAAAAAACTTACCAGGGGCTTTCAAGAGACTCACCACCCCCGCCTGCCCCCATCCCATTCTGGTCACAGAGATGAGATCTGGAGGCCAACTCCACTGCTTCCCAGCTGTGTGGCTTTGCCTTTTTCTTAGTCTCTCTGAGCCTCTGTTTCCTAGACTATAATATAAAATTCAGTCTTACGGAGTCATTGTGAGAATTACATGAGAAGACACTGATGGAAGTTGAGGAGGAGTGTGGGGGCTAGCTCCCAACCTAGAACCTCCAGGACCCCTCTCCTGAGAGCAGGGCACCCTCAAGGCAAGGTGGGCCTTGCACTGGCCATGACCTTCTCTTCTTGCCCAAATGACCCTAGCTCAGGTCAAGACGACAGACTTTCTAAGCCTTGTAAGACTTCTTGCTCCATCCTTTGCACCCATACCAGGATCCCCACCACACCCCAAGACATGAAGAGTTGTTTTTGCTGGTGGCAGAGTGCTACTTTCCTCACTCATGTCCTCCTAGAAAAACTGACCAGAGACATGGAAGGCTTTGCAAAGAAAATTTATTCATTGTAGGTTGCAAGAAAGGCAGGGGGTTCACAGCATAGGAAGAGACCTCTCCCAGAGGATGCCCTAGTACTCCCTCAGGAGGACCTGTGGGGCTTGGAAGGGTCCTGGTGATTCAAGCTACCTGAGTGCCATTGCTGCTCTCCTACTTCTGCCTCTCCAGCCTCAGTCTTTCCAGAGCCCACCAGGCCAGCCTCTGGGAAGCACTGGAGCAGGTCTCGGGAGCATCCTCATCTTCCTGCCAAGGACCCCAAGGAACAGCCAATCCTGCAGGAATGCAGATGACCAGCAGCCATGGGCTCCAATCTGTATGAGGCTCTGTAACCCTGTAAACCCCTCCTTTCACCCCGCTGCCCAGTCCAGGTTTGGGCAAAACCCAAGGGATGGCATTAGGTGGAACTGTGGGAGAAGCCCAGCTAAAAGACTATTTGAAGTGACCCTGCAGCGCAGGGGTTAATATCTCTATATGTGGGCACTGGCAAGGGGAGTCTGCAGCTTTAGGGACCTCCTATAAGTGGCCAAACCAAACAGGATCTCTTTGGAGTCAAAGTACAGACTTCAAAGTCAAAGAGACTTGGTTTTGATCTCAGTTCTGGCACTTACAAGCTGTGTGACTTAGGACATATAACTTAACTTTTCTGGGTCTCAGTGTCCTCATCTGCAAAATGGGTGTACCAATGACACCCACACACCATAAAATGATGAGGAGTCACTGCACTAAGGCATGTGACCTGGGACCTGACAGCCTTCTGCACTTGGTCACTCTTAATGCTTTTTTTCTTCCCAGTCCACTGGCCCCACAGCCAATCTGAAGTGACTGTAGCTGTGCCCAGGCCCCAGGGACCAGGTTTCCCAGACCCCTCTGGACAGCCCCATTATGCCTCTTCCTGCCCCCTGCCCCTGCTCCCTCCCAGGCTACTGAGGCACTACTGAGAGCTCTGCAGGCTGCTGCAGCCCCTGACCTAAGGCAGGTGTAGCCTGACCCAGTGCCACCAGGGAGGGTGGTGTGCAGCATTACCTCTTGGAGACACTTTCCAGGCCATTTACTCTTTCAGGGATGAAGTAGGGGTGGCAATTGCCCTACTGGGCACCCGCACCTCTTCCGCCCTGTGATGTCTTTCTCTCCACACATGCTGCTTATGCAAATAGGCCCATTCACAGCCCTGTTCCCCACCCCCCAGCACGGTGATACTTTTGGGCTATGGCCAAATGGGGACACTTCCCAGTTCACCATGTCCAACACCTGGCATGACCCCAGTGCCTCCAAAGGCCTCCTCCCCCAAACAAGCAGGTCCTCAGGGCAGAGGGGCAATGTCTGCATGGAAGGAAACTGAGAACCAAGATCTAGCCACCATCCCCCACCCACCTCCCCTGTCCCTAGCCAAGCTCCTGGCTCTGCCCCTCACCTGCAGAGGAGCTGCAACAAACCAATTAACTTCTTTTGATTTGGTGAAACTGGAATAATGATACCCACCTAAGCAAGACCCAGAGACAGTAAGCCTGGCACTTAGTAGGTTTTTGATTAACACTAGCAACCATGATGATATGTGATTATTAGGCCCCAAAATGGCCCATGGCTGAAGCCACCAGTAATTGTGGGATACTTTCTCCAGTAACATCACTACCACCCTCTTAAAGCACCCATGCCAAGTTAGTTGATAGAAGTTAAGCCTATTATACTGAACAACCCTTTACATCTTTCAATAAAAGTATCTTAGGAGCATGAAAAGAAAACAGAACAGTATAGAAGAGTGCATTCCCCCATGCCCACTCCCTAGAGGTAGCCTTCCAGTACATACTTCCGTATATAAGCATACTTATGACTCACTTTTAAACATCTACAAATAAGATCGTACTCCACAGCCTGTTCTGTAACTTATTCTATTCACCTTATCATGGGAACTGGCCAACCTTCCACATCAACTCATATACGGAGATCTACCACACCGATTTTTACAGCTGCATAGGTATTCCACAGTATGAACAGACCATAGGTTCATGTCCATTTCTTTACACTCTTCAAAAGAAATGCTCTGATGAACATCCTTCTACATAATTCTTTGGGAACTTTTACGAATATGCCCACAGAGTAAATAGTGCCATTTTTGTGACCAAGTATATTTGCCTTTTACATTTTGATATTGCCACATTTCAGAAAATATTGTAGAATTTACACTCCCCAACTGACAGTGCTTGAGTGTCTTGAAATAGGCATGTGATGGTACAGAAACCACAAAATTAGCCTGCCAGTTAGTGCAGGCCACAAAGGCACCCACAGAGCCAGTGGAGAATGGCACTGGACTAACATGATGTCCTTAGGGTTGTTCCCAGTGGTTTCTTCCTATCCAGGCCTGTATAGGCTAGGGCCCAAGGGTGCCCTGAATCAGAAGGGAGTGGGGCCCACAGGGGGACTGGGTGGAGGGCAGGCCAGCATGTCCCGCCTGAATGATTTCCTGCAGCCATTGTCTCTGCCCCGCCTGGTCTCCTTGGGGGGAGTTTATTCAGAGGCCTTTGGCAAGGGGGCTAGACAGGAGGAGGGTGTGCAGTCCTCACCAAAGGCACCCAGGAATGTGTCATAGGAGGGGGAGAAAGAGGAAGGGGGGGAACCCATCCCTGGGAGAGACGGGACGTCAAGAACCCCTGACTAATGAATAGCGAGTTTGCCCTTGAACCTCACTGGGTTTCGCCATTCTCAGGCATAGAACAAGAGCTGAGACACGTCTGAGCCCAGCTGCACAGGGACGGCGGCGGTTCATCTCAGACACTTTGACAGGCCGGGCCTTTTCCCTGCATAGCTCAGATCTGCCTCCGGACTCCCCTGGCAACAGCACAGCAGCATGGCTCCCGGGTCCAGGCCCTGCCTGCTGTGAGCAGGAGGAGGGAGGAAGAGGAGCACCAAGGGGAGGACAGCTGGGGAGAGGGAGTCGTTAACTCCTAGAAGGCTGGAGTCCCTTGCTTTGGCAACTTTGCCAGTGTGCTGCCCTTGGTCCTAGGCTGGAAACACGGTGAAGAGCTTCCGTTTGCTGGAGGCCTACCCAGAATGTTCCATGCACCTCAGACCCAAACAGATCTGACAAGAACAGACACAGTGAAGAAGGAGATGCTAGGCCAATGGGCCAAAGGCAAAGGCCCTTGAGGGATGGGTTGGGGTACATTTTCCCAGATCCCCTGCCAAGTCCCAGATGGGCAGGATTACGGGGTCCTCCTCCTCCATCCTGGTCCCTGGCTGTTACAACCTCAGAACAGAGGCTACTTGTTCTCCCTTCCTGCTGGGCTTTTTCCCTTCTGAGGCTCTTGCATGTCCTGGGGTGGCTTGGCTCTGTGTTCCAATCCTGTGACCTTGGCAAGAGCCACAATTCCTCTGTCTCCATTTTCATAAAAGCTGAAAAGAGGCTGTCCGATCATACTTCACTTCACAGGACAATCTAAAGATAAGAGAAATAATATGTGAGAAGCTTTGCACTCTGGGGAGGAAGGTGTCCTATAAATCTCATTCAGGTATTATTAGGGCTGAAATTAGGTATTTCTGCCCCCTGGGGAAAGAGGGGCAGTGGGCTGGGGGGAGGTGCTCCTCCAAGGTTGTCTCAGCACTTCCCCAGCAGGGCAGTCCTGAAACTCAAAGGCAAGAGGTCAGGAAAGTTAAGCGTTTATGTCTGTGGCCTTTGAAGCCTCTGGGTACAGCTGGCACTAGAAGGTAAGACAGAACATCATTTCGAGGTACTTTATCTGTGTTATTTCTATGCCTCACTGCAACTTTATGAGAAAGGTGTGGTTATCTTCATGTTAGAAATAAGGAAATAGAGGATCAGAGAAGCTAAGGAGCTGGCCCAAGGTCACGCCAGTCATATAAGATGCTGAGCCCACATCCATGTATCAGCTGTACCAGTGGAAGAGCCGCCTAGCTGGGGTCCTTCGGAGAGGGGTCAGCACCAAAAAGTAGTGTTTCCCCCATGGTTGCTTCTCAGGGATTGGAGCTTTTGAGTCTAAAAGTTCTGGCCTAAGGAAGTGGAATGCGGCAAGTCCCAAGGAGAACACTGCAAACCCACCTTGAGGGCCACCTGAGCAAACAAAGTCACCAAGGCAAACACCACTCAGAGCAAAGAGAAGTAGAAGAAAGGACAAAAGCATCCAGATTAGAGGTTTTTACTGCCCAGCCCCATGCCCCTTGCCAGCAGTGAGCTGGGTTTTCATTTTTGTAGCCTCTAGGTAATGGTGCCTCCTTGCATCCCAGGCCAGCTTGAACAGGACAAAGCTAACTGTTTCCTGTAAGCCAGGGAGCTGGGAGCAGGGGTTACTGGCAGGTAACAGAGTAAAAGAAGCAGGAAGAACTCCCAGATGAAAAAATGCAGGGGCTAAAAGGTACCTCAGATACCATCCTATTCAATGCTCCTTTTCTTTTTTCTCTTTCTCTTTCTTTTTTAAGAAATAGGATCTTGCTCTGTCATCCAGGTAAGAGTGCAGTAGTGCGATCACTGCAGCCTTGGAACTACTGGGCTCAAGGGATCCTCCTGCCTCAGCTTCCCAGGTAGCCAGAACTATGGATGCATGCCACCACACTCGGCTAATTTTTTCATTTTTTAAGAATAGCGTCTCACTGTTCTCAAACTCAGGCTGTTCTCAAACTCTTGGCCTCAAGAGAGCCTCCTACCTTAGCCTCCCCAGTTACTGGGATTACAGGTGTAAGCTACTGCACTAGCTCAATGCTACTTTTCTGGGTCCAGTAAAGGAGGTGGCTTGCCCAAGACCACTCAGTGGAAAAGTGGGCTAGAGTCCAAATCTCTGACTTCCAGCTAGGTAAGGTTGTGTCTTCCTATGCCCTTGTCACTTAACCAGACCACCTTAGGCCCTCAAAGCCATTAATTTCACCCAACAAGGCAAAGAGATAGGCCAGGTAAAAGAAGTCAGTGTTGGCTAAGTGCACCATGTGTCCAGATGTGGCCTCGGAAAGCCTGGGGCTGGGAGAAGATGCTGCCTGCCTTGAGGTCAGAATCTTTCCACAATGACAGAACATGGCTCCACACTACCCCAACACGACACTGCCATACTCCACAGTCAGATAACAGAAACCATGAACTTCCCCTGGCTGATTAAGAAACAGGCATGAGGAGTTAGATCAGAGCACAAACAGACCCTCTAATCCTGACCCACGGTGCTTCTGAGAAGGGACAGGAAGGAGGGGCAGCTCTAGGGGACATGAGGATGGCGAGAGCCCACAGAAGCAGCTCTTCCTCAGAGCCTGGTGGGCAGGTCTGCTGCCAGCTTGGGGCAGGAGCTGGGAAGGCCCTCAGCTCACTGCCCTCTGCTTCCAGGTCCTCTTTCAGGTCAGGCAGGGTGCCCCATGCTAGGCACGCCTGACTTGCTTGAATGCAAAGATCTCAGGATCCTGCATCCTGCAACCTCCTCAGGAGCTGCCCTCAAGGGATGTCTGTATGCTTGCTGATAAATGGACTCATGATGGGGCAGAAAGACACAGGGACAAGTTCTGCTCAGCTGTGCCCTCCTCCCTGGGTGATGGTTTGGGCCAGCTGTCATTCTGACTGGTTGGTGCCCAACCTGTACAGGTGGTTAAATATTCTGAATATCACCACTGTCCACATTCTCCAAATCTCAGCTATCTTAAATGACCTGCAGAACCTTAACTCCTTCATCTCTGCCCCATATCTAAAGGAAAAGGAGAAGAAAAATTAACCCCATTGAGTGTTTCCCATGTGCCCAAGAGTCTTCATAGCAGCTCCAATGGAGGTAGGGATTATGATGCTCATTTTATAAATGAGGGTTTGGAGGCTCTGAGACATCCAGGGTCTGCTGCAGAGTCATGGCAGAAGCAGAGCCCTGGGCCTCGGCCCACAGCATCTTCTCCTCTGTTCCTACCCTCCAGCCAAGGTCCAAGGCCTGGGGGCTGCCCCAGTTCTGCTAAGCTGGATGCCTCAGAACCACTCGGGCTTGCATTCACACCCCCACCTCAATTTCCTGTCTCTCCTGGATTTTCTCAGGGCTCATCGCTGAGAGAATCAGGGGTTCATCTCAGGGGTTCTCTCCCCTGCTCATCTAGGCAGGGAAGCCATTCCACCCAGCATACTTGCTTAGTTCTAGACAAATCCCCACCCCCGACTAACCCAACAGCATATTCCTGGCTGACCACGGGGATGATACCTACAACTTACAGAGACTTCTTCTAACTGGGATTGGCAGCCAGAGGATTTGGGGGCTGGGGTAAGGGTGGGAGCAGCTACCAAACAATAAAAACTTAGCCATGCAGAAAGGGCCAGAAAGCCCTAATCTTGGGAACTTTCCTCCTGAGGGACAAAGAGGAGGTGACGCCCGACTGCATGCAGGGTCTGTGCCTCAGCCCTCCACTGGGTACCACCTGTGCTGGGTCCAACCCTGCCGGGCCACTGCCTTAGGAGTGGGAGCTGCGCTCGGAATGTGATTCTCCAGCTTTGCATGACACTCTGTTAGCAGAGTGCGACTCCCAAGATCCCCTGTCACCTCCTAAAGCCTCTGCCAGCCTGCCCCCCAGCACCACAAGGATCACCAGATTAAGGAGCTCAGAGCTACAGCTGAGGCGGCTAAACTCTGGGAGGTAGGAATGGGGAGGGGCAGGGAGGCCAGTGGGCAGCTCTCCCAAGGCCCTGCTGCCCTGCCTCTTCTCCCAACCCGTACTGTAGGCAACTCTCTCACTCTATCCCTGCCATGAAGCGCTAACTTCTATCTTCTTTTCTTCTTGAACTTTGGACTTTACCACCAGTTATCCAGCTTGAGTGAGGAGCAGTTCAGGGAGACAGGGAAAGGGGTAGAACGAGAGGCACCCCAGAAACAGAAATAAAGAGAGAGAGAGAGGCGGGGAGGAAAAAGGCAGCCCAGATGGAAGGAACAAGTGCACTGTGTATGGGAACTGGCTGGCACAGCGGCATGGGAAGGAAGGTCCCTGCTGGAAGGGAGGTCCAGGGTCTCTCCCCTGCCTGGCCTGAGTGGCTACCTGAGGTTAATTCCAGAGGCTCCTTGTGGGTGGCTCTGGTCAGCTGCCTGGCCTCAGTGCAAGGTATATCCCACAACACTTGATGAGAGAATGGGAGAGTGACAGAGATTGGGAGGCTGGCAAAGAAGGAGCCAGACTCCCTGGCCACTTAACCTGAGACCCCTGCACTAAACAGCAGGGTGATGCTTCATCCCACTCCCCACCCACCACCTGGGGTTATTCTGAGGGGCTGTGGAGAGGTGGGAACTCTGAAGTTCCCAGATGAACCCTGACCCTTCTCAGCCCTGTCCCCTGCCCACCCCCACCAACCCTGTCCCAGGACCTGCAGGGGCAAACCAGGACACACCTAGGGCCCTGGCCAGCAGCTGCCCTCCCTCCAGCTTCTCCTTTGCCACTGCCAAGGTCTCTTCTGCTTGGCAGTCTCTGTGCAGAGAACCAGGGCCTGCTTCTCACCACTGCAGGTTAGGGATGGGGAAGAGCTCCTCTGTGAAGACCTGGGAAGACAGGCTCTGCCTGCTCTTGGTCCTCCCCACACTCTGAAAACAGGAGCCCACACTGAATATCAACAGGGATGAGGCCAGGTGCGGTGGCTCAAGCCTGTAATCCCAGCACTTTGGGAGGCCGAGACGGGCAGATCACGAGGTCAGGAGATGGAGACCATCCTGGCGAACACGGTGAAACCCCGTCTCTACTAAAAAGTACAAAAAAAACTAGCTGGGCGAGGTGGCGGGCGCCTGTAGTCCCAGCTACTCGGGAGGCTGAGGCAGAAGAATGGCGTAAACCCGGGAGGCGGAGCTTGCAGTGAGCTAAGATCCGGCCACTGCACTCCAGCCTGGGCGACAGAGCGAGACTCCATCTCAAAAAAACAAACAAACAAAAAAAAAACAGGGATGAAATCCTTCCTGCAGCACTCCCCTCCACCCCAGCCAGAATTCATTAGTCCCATTCCTGTCATTGTGCTAAATTAGCAAATGCTAAATCAACATAGTTTTGAAACGATCACCACTGTTACCACCATCAGAGGCTTTCTGAGCTAGAAGAGAGCCAAGAGATTCCTGAAGTTCAACTCACTCCTCTTGCCAACAAGAAAACTAAGATTCAGGAGTTGGGGTCACTTGGCCTGCCTGAGGTCACATAGAAACCGGTAGCAAGGACATGCCTTACGCCCTGTCTACCAGACCCCTTTCCTTTCAGGCCAGGCCTCTATGAGGTCCTAAAAGGAAGCTTCTCCATCATATCCCACACAAGATCCTGGTCCAACCACAGGCGGCAGGGGTCTGGGGACAGGGGAGGCCGTAATGCGATCAGCAGACTGGCCATCTGGCTCGGGGACGGAGAAGAGTCCAGACTGGCTGTTTCTGCTGCCCGGTCCCAAGGGGCCCTGTGTCGCAAGAGACAGACTGCCAGATGGACAGGCACTGGCCTGGGTCTGGGAGGAAGCCAGTGAGTCCCAGCAGTCAGAGCTGACCAACTTTCAGACATGGAGGGGTGGCGGGAAGAAGGCATAGGGAGCAAAGCCAGGCCTCCCAGACGGCAGAGAGACAGAACTATAGGATGGGAAAGCCGCAATTCCCTGGCCAGGCTCAGAGCCTGGCTCTCCAGGTAGGCCCAGCCCCTCTCAGCTCCAGGCCCCCAGGCTACTGGCCAGCCACAAACAGGGCCCCCTCCCGGGGAAAGGCAAACACATCTCCCCTGGCACCTTCTCAGACATGCATGCAAAACTAATTAACATGGGGAGACATGCGAGCAGCCGGCCAGCTCCACACCCTCGAGTCCACGCAAACAAGGCAAGCCCTTGTCCAGGGGACGTGCACAAAGCTTTGTTGCTAATTTAGGCATCTGTCTCTGTCTGGTCTGGTCCTCCTGCCTGCGCTGGGGTTTTTCCCAGCCCCTTGGACAATGCTGGGAACAGGCCCACCGATCCCTTATTCAAATCACACCCGGGACAATGAGCTCATTGTGCAGGCCACAGAAAAGGGGATGCTGGGGGGTGGGAGTGTATAACGGGACATCAGGGAGTAGAGAAGGGTGGGGGGTGTACAGAAAATGGGAACCCAGGAAAGTGTTTACTAACACAGCCCCTGCAGCTGCCTTGGGCCCCTTGCCCCCTTTCAACCTGGCTTGGAGCTGGGGGGAAGTGCTGGGACTCAGAGCTAGGGGTCCCCAGAGTAGAAGGCTCAAACCTTCATTTTGTTGACCTCTCCCACCTTCAATAGTTTATAGCTACCTCTGCACATCTAAGGCCAGGCACATTTTTTAATAGGGTGGTTTGGGGGCTTCTTTTCTTCTTACTTCAGGCTTAAATGTGCAGATCCCAACTGCAGAAGAGGAGACAAGGCTGAGGGAAGAGATGTTGGCGGCTGTGCAGGGTGGGACCTGCTGTCTCGGCCATTGTCTTCAAGCAACGTTTCATGTTCTCCTCCTTTCCAGCTAATAAATTAGAGAGGAGACGGTGAGCTGCGAAGGGAGAGGCTCCCCATGGATGGCGGCAGAGGGCTAGAAGGCAAGTCTGGGAGCTCACAGCAGATGGGGCTCACCCAGCTCAGCGGCTGCTCACACCACACCTGGTCAGACACTCGCATGCAGCCCCATACAATGAGCAGTATGGAAAAAAATCCACAAACACACATACACACACACACACATACACACACACACACGCAACTCCTGAGGTCCCTGAGGAGGACAGCTGGGCTTTGAAATGCCCTCCCCCTTTACCGCCACCTCCCCAAGCTCCTTGTTGCACTGAGCACGCCTAGACAAGCCAACAGAAACAGACACACATAGCCTGTCACTGACACAAAGACACACACAAACACACACACACACACCCAGAGGCAGCCCCAGACACACACACTGACAATGGTGTAATGAATGTGGGAGGGCGAGAACGTTCAGTCAAAAGCCCACACTCTGGCTGCCCAGCACCGGGGTGGCTAAAAGGTTGTGGAGAGGCTGTGAACTGGCTCTCCCAACAACCTCCTCCCCAAGACTCCCAGGACTGCTGCCGGTGACACAGGAGGTGAAGTAAAATACCGTTTCAGGCATCCAGATGGAAGCAAATTCCTCCAGAGACAGAAAAGTTTGGAACTGGTCTCAGCCCTTAGTATTGGCTGAACTGTCTGGAATTTTTTTTTATAACAAAAGAAAGGGTGCTCAAAACTCATCTGAAGTATCCTGCATTTTGAGATGATATACCTTGAAGCTGGGGCAAAGTGGAGCCTTGCTAGGATAGTTTCCTACTGCAGTACAATCCACAGGTTACAGTGATTCCTTCCTGCTGTTAAAAAAAAAATTCTGTGAAGGGTATCATAGGATGAAGAGGAACACAAATGGTTCAAGTATCAGAAACTCTTTAAAATGTGTTTCTGGGGTTCCCTCTACCATCCCAGAGGAATGGAACTATAGTAGGTTGAACCATAAGAAATTGTCAATATTTGACTATTTTTCATCAACAAGAAAGAAATTTCATACGGGTCAACCTAGTAGGTGCTGGTTCCAAGAACCACCAAGGATATTTTCCCCTTTTAAATTAAATTACATTTTTTTAAGAGACGGGGGTCTCATTCTGTCACCCAGGCTGGAGTGCAGTGGCGTGATCATAGCTCACCGTAGCCTGGAACCCCTGGGCTCAAGTGATCCTCCAGCCTCAGCCTCCCGAATAGCTGTGACTGCAGGTGTGCCATCATACCTAATATTTTCCCTTTTTAAATTGTCCTTCCCAAACTGGGTTATTTTCTCCCTGAATGTAGAAAAAAAATAACAGTATTCTAAAACCTAAATCTACCTTGGACCATCCATCTACAGCCACAGAAATACATCTTTCCAGCAGCTGGAAAGAACTGCAAACACACATGCGCAGCCCAATGCCCATGTCAGGAAGGGACCCACCTTTGGACTCTTGCCACCAGGGCTTCTGCTTCTCTTTTTGCTGTCTTCTGACTCCAGAGCATGTCCTGGATGGGGACAGAGGAACAGGAGAGGGAAACTAGAACTGGAAATTGGTCAACTGCACACCCAGCCTCTCCAGGACTGGACTCGGCATACGCTCTGCCTTGGAAGAAGCATCTCCTGGGCAGCCTCATAACTCAAGCACATGCTGTCCACTGGCTGCCATATTCAAACCCAAGGCCAGATTCTGTGCATGCAGTATTCATCCAGCAAATCACCTCCAGGAGACCCAGGCAATGGAAGCCAAAGGGTGTGGACGCCACCCAGCGTAGGGAAGGCCTACTCATTGCCAGCATCTGGACATCCATTGGTTCCGTTGCTCACTGTCACAGAAGTCGGAGCACACCACATCTTCCTGGGAAATCACCATCACCAATCTCTCTGGGGTTTCCTAAGGAAGGAAAGGTTGGAGGCTTCAGAAGCAGAGCACAGCACTGCTCTGTGTCTCACCACCTGCTTCTCACCTGGCCACAGAGGAAAGCCTGTTCCATGTGTGCCCATCCTGCCCACCAGCAGCAGCTGCTGAGGGTGCACACTTCCCCTGAAAACGTTTCTGGTGGCTAAGGACCTGAGGTTCTATTTAAAGATACAGAACCACCTTCTATACAGCCAGAAGTGGTAGAGTCCCTCTTATATCCCTGACAAATGCTATGTAATTTCTGAGAGCTTTATCTTACTAACATACACACACCAACGTCAACAAAACCGCCAAAAAAGCAATAATAATAAGATGACACTTATTGCCCTTCCCATTCCTGGAAGGCAAGAAAGAATGACAGAGGCTGCAATTTGGGCTTTAGGGCTAGTGAATTCATTTGCAGGACTAGGCCCAACCCAGGGGCTGTGAGAATTACTCCCCAAAACCTCAGCTGTATGAAGAGAGGCAGCTGGGTATCCCCCATTGCTAACTTATATACAGGCCCACCTGCCAAAAACTGTACTCAGGATCCAACCTGGGTGCAGGGGTAGCATGAGAATCAAGGTAAAATTCTAGCCTTGGTGCTCTGAACAGCATCTGATTTCTTCTGAGGAAGAGAAACCTACACGAATTCATCAAGATGTAATTTATTGTTTGATTACATTTAAGATGTTTCCTACCAATCTCACAAGTAAATCTCGATAGATTACTGCTATTTTGATTTATAAAATCAAACTGCCTTTTAGTCTGGGTGTGGTGGCTCATGCTGTAATCTTTTTTTTTTTTTTTTTTTTTGGTGAGACAGAGATTTACTCTTGTTGCCCAGGCACGATCTCGGCTCATCGCATCCTCTGCCTCCCAGGTTTAAGCAATTCTCCTGCCTCAGCCTCCCGAGTAGCTGGGATTACAGGCATGTGCCACCACGCCGGCTAATTTTGTATTTTTAGTAGAGACGGGGTTTCTCCGTGTTGCCCAGGCTGATCTTGAACTCCTGACCTCAGGTGATCCACCTGCCTCTGCCTTCCAAAGTGTTGGGATTATAGGCGTGAGCCACTGTGCCCGGCTTATGCTATAATCTCAACATTTTGGGAGGCCCAGGTGGGAGGATCGCTTGATGCCAGGAGTTTGAGACCAGCCTAGGCAACAAAGAAAAACCCTGTCTCTACAAAATAAATTTTTTTAAATTTTATAAAATAAATATAAAAGTCTGGGTGTGGTGGCACATGCCTGTAGTCCCAGTTACTCTGGAGGCTGAGGCAGAATTGCTTAAGCCAGTTCGAGGTTATAGTGAGCTATGATCAGGCCACTGCACTCCAGCGTGACCGACAGAGCAAGACCTTATCTCAAAAAAAAAAAAAAAAAAAAAAAAAAAGGGTGTTTTAAAATGAAGAAAGGGTAACTGAAATGTCACAATTCTTTTTTTTTTTTTTTTTTTTTTTGAGGCGGAGTCTCGCTCTGTCGCTAGCAGGTGCAGTGGCCCGGATCTCAGCTCACTGCAAGCTCCGCCTCCTGGGTTTATGCCATTCTCCTGCCTCAGCCTCCCGAGTAGCTGGGATTACAGGCTCTGCCACCACCACCTCGCCCGGCTAGGTCTTTTTTTTTTTTTTGTATATTTTTAGTAGAGACAGAGTTTCACGGGTTAGCCAGGATGGTCTCGATCTCCTGACCTCGTGATCCGCCCTTTTTTTTTTTTTTTGTATATTTTTAGTAGAGACGGGGTTTCACCGGGTTAGCCAGGATGGTCTCGATCTCCTGACCTCGTGATCCGCCCGTCTCGGCCTCCCAAAGTGCTGGGATTACAGGCTTGAGCCACCGCGCCCGGCTGAAATGTCACAATTCTATACAGAAACAATGGAATCTAGAGAATTACAGTTCTAGCTGAGGCTAAACGACAGCTTAAGGTCATCACAGGCAAAGCATGACATGTCCTCTGACGCTGTTCTCCCAGGCTCTTGGGACATGGAGAGGGGCAGGAAAGTCAATAAACCACAAACTGATGATAACTGTCAGACCCGGAGCGCCTGCTAATCTAGCACACCACCCCTGCTAGCCTGGCCTTCCAGCTCTAAACAGATATATGCCTTTCCACATCACACAAGCTGAAGTGCTGGGCCAGGGACTGTGGTTTCCTTCTCTGTATCCCCAGGGCCTTGCCCAGAGGCTGACACATAATGTGTGGTCAATAGACATTGAATGAATAAATGAGTGTGGTAAGAAAAAATATAGTGTGGCATGGGAAGACTTCCAATTTCAGAGCCCCGTAGTTCCCTTGCAAAGTGGGAAATGGCTCCACAGCACAGCGCTGGGGCTGCTGACGTCTAGGCCAGGTACCATAAGAGGTGAGTGGCACAGGGTGGGTGTGGCTGCTTAGCTCAGGTTGGCCTGGGCAGCACAAGGCCTGATAGCCTCCAATACCCACCAGTCTTGCACATGGTGACCAAACCAATTCTCGTAGCCTGCTCCCTACCTCGTCATTCTTATCCTCCACCATCTGACCTGACCTACATCCAAATCTCAGGCCCAGGCCAGCAGGAATCCTCCTCCCACTTCATCTCCACAAAAAAAAGGCCCTAGTCGAAGAGTTCTCCCCATCAGCAGGAATGCCGTCTTGCCCTCTCGACAGCCTAGAAGACCTGTTTGGGCACAGTGAGGCTTCTCCACCCCAATCTAATTCCTCTTCTCTTAACTCCCAAGGACAGAGACAAAACATCAAAACACTCTGCTCCTTGGATGTGTGCCGCCTTAGGCTGGTAATAGCTAGTTTCTCTGCTCCTAGAGGTCAGGAGTTCTCCCTGCACTGCAGAGCCTATGGCTGGTCTATAAACACCACAGCTTATTGTAGAGTGACTAACAGAGAGCTGACCCTGGTCCCTTGCTGGCCAGGGAAGGTGGCCTTCATTCGTGACAGACCAGCAAGATGGGGGATGCATCTTGAGTGTCACAAGGTAAGTATTACTATTCCCAATTTTGCAGATGGGAAAACTGGCTCAGACGAAGAGGGGAAGGAGTGTCCTGTGGGCTCTGAATTAGATCAGACCAACCCCTCCACCTGGATACCCACTGGGCCACACTGCCTCTGCCTCACACCACTATGGTCTCGGAGTCTGTCACCCACAGTAGAAGAGAGAACGGTGAACTCGATACTGGGTAAAAGAAGCTGCACATTCAAAGGGAAGGGTAGCTATAAACTTGAGACTTGTTTCTTTACTCCCCTTTTCCCCAGCACTCATCAAGGAGGTAACATGCCTTCAGAGGCATCTGCCATCTCTCCTAACCTAAGGAGACAGTAGGAGCTATGGTGCAGAACTGGGCAGATAGGAGGAAGGCTTGACATTGTCTGCTTAAGGACAAGATGAGATGGGACAGAGGATGTGGGCCCCCTTCCCTCCTCCAGAAGACCATGGGTGCTACATCAGGGGGATACAACATTGCAAAAAGCAAAAGGCCAGCCTCATCCTGAGCAGCCACAGTCCCCAGTCCCTTGGCACTGTGGGCAGGCTGGTAGGCTTGGGCCAACCCCATAATTTTACAGACTGAGGCACAGCAGGGATATGGAACACACAATTAGGAGATAAATCCGGACTGGGTGGTATTCTGCTCACTCCTCTAGCACTGCACCAAGGCTCCCAGGGGCCCAGCATGGAGCCCTCCCATCTTGATTCTCCAGGTGTACTGCCAGACCCAAGCAGGAGACACTGCAGAGGCATCCTTTGGCAACCCAAATGAACTTAAGCTGCTTCCCAAAGCCCAGGCTGATTCTTTGGGAGACAAGAACTCACTGGGGGCTGACAGTCCCTCCTATGCAAGGGCTGTAGCCCCTGTAACACACCCCATACAGTCACCCAAATGGCATTTGGCTTAGAAAAGAAGGGAAAATCCCTGGTCCAATTTACTACTCTTTTTTCTCCCAAAGAGACAGCCCTCAAAGGAGATACAATATACAAAGCATTAGCACAGAACCTGGCACAGAGTAAGTGCTCAGTAAATGGTTCCTGTCCCCATCATCATGACTCATTATGACTTCCTCGATGCCCATTTCTCACCTCCCAGGTTCATGTGAGGAGCCTTCTTTTTATAAATTCAAAGCTTACTGGAGCTGGAAGGCCCTTAACCCAGTCCAGGGTTTCCAGGGCAGGAAACTGGAGTTTCTGAGGGGAAAGGGGGCTGGAGGCAAGCCCAGACCCACAGCCAGGGGTCCTCCAAGGGGAGAAAGCTAACTGAGGCCCCTCTGCCCTTTGACAGCAGTATGAGCCCAGCACCTCCCCGGAAAATCTCTCTGAGGCCCTAAGGCTTGGCAGGGAGCCAGGGCAGGAGGCCTCTCCAAGAAGACGCTGGCTCTGAGCCAAGACGCATCCCAGAAGCTCCAGCTCAGGAAGAGCAGCAGAGGCTGAGGGGAGGAGGGGCAGCCAGGAGAGGGGTGACAAGGAGCCCTCGGGCCAAAGGAAACAAACCTGCTGAAAGTGGGTTTGGCACGAACCTGGGATGCATGGCTGCCTTCCCGTGCCCTGTGGTTTCTGCACATCTGGGAGACTATGAAATCACTGCTAGGGACGGGGGAAGGAGGACGACCCTCCTGTTATCTACAGCTGTGCCCATTCAAACTCCACTGGGGCACTGCTAAACCTTCATCCAAAGATTCTTCTGGGGTTTACCTATTGGTTGCCTTGTCCCCACCTTAAATGCTGAAAAATACAATGTTGTCTACAGATTCAAGCCACGACTTCTGCCTCCAAGGACTGAGGGGTAATCCCCATTTAAAGGGCTATACTAGGCACTCCTAAAAGCCCCTTAAGGCACGAGGCTCTCTATGTGCCTCCTCTCTAGCTTTTCCATGGACCTCTATGCACAGAGCCCTGTGTGGCCACAAGCCTCCTGGGGGAGATCAGGATTAGTTACTAAGCACTGGGGATGGAAGAGGTCTTGAGCCTCTAGTGTAGACCTCACTATCCAATGAAAATATGTCAGTTCCAAGT